CCCATCCAGGAGCGCCCTATGGAAATATCCCCATCTAGTGGGTGTCACTGGGCTGAGGACACTGGTATACCAGGACACTGCCTGCCCACCGCTTTTCTAGCAGCTGCACATCTGGTGTTTTCCTGAGTGAAAACAGCAGAAGTAGGAACCTCAGTTGGTTACAGTAGGAATCTGTAAAATTATGTCATATTTTACATGGGTATTCTAAAAAAAAAAAACACATAAAATATTTAATATGGTCTTTCAATGATAGACTGTTCTGCTGTTCTAACTACAGCATATACTCAGTCCATTATACCTAAATAAGCTAAAATATCTCTGATGGTTTGTCCAGAAATTTTCTGCATAAGTTTTAAAAGAAATTAAAAACACTGAAAAGTTTTCAGGCTTGACATACTCTTCCAACAGTTAAAGGTACTGCTTTTCTCAGAATATATTTTACATAAGAAGAAGGAGTTCCTTGGGATTTTAGAGGTGGCATGTTTGTAAATATTCATGATTGTCTTCAAGACAAAACAGGCAATAGCAACATGAAAATACAGTATTATCCCAATGTGAGACACAGCTACAAAATCCTGTGTCTACTCTCTCCCCTATCTTTTTGAGAGAAATGTTTTTAGCTGGTGAAAAAAGAAAGTTTGTTCCTAGACCCACTAAAATTAGTAGGGGTTTTGACGTTAATAGAGTTAGGGTTTAGTGAGGAATATTTCAGGAAGGAATACAGCATAGCAAAACCTGCAGTACATGCAGTCCCAAAGAAAGTATAGTACTCATGTCATGGTTACCCAATTAATGCTTTCTTAGTTGTCTTTCTCAGAAAGGATTAGTGACTGACATAGTGTAATAGTTATTTAAGGATAGTTGAATAACGTAATGGCATCTAACTAATCAGCTCCCTATTGCTGATACTTGTAAACAAGGCTTCAGATTCTCCGGCATCACATCCAGGCTAGGAATTTCTGTCTTAAATCCAGGCTGCAGCCATTCTGGGATTTTAGGCAGAAGATGAGAGGAACTATGCAGAACTTCAGGTGACTGAGATTGTAAAAAGTCCTCATCTCTCTTGTCACGCTCTTTAATTCTTGTCCTATTATCAACATGTATAGAACATACGTAGTTTTACACACACACATACATGCATATATATTTCTAAGAATAACTAAGATCCTTTCTCTGTGAACACATTTATAATAATATATTACTTGTTCATTCAGCTTGCTTGTCACATATATGCATGGTTTTTTCTTCTCAGCAAAGTTTTACCCAAAATAGTTTGTATTACAATCTACAAGGTATTATTTTAAAATGTATGTTTGAATACTATGGTTATGAAACCAGGAGATTAATGTCATTAGCTCAAGACTGGCACTGTGGAGACAGGTGCCGTGCATGTTCCTCTGCATAGCTCTGCCAATGCACATTAATCTTGATCTGCAACATTCCTGCTATTCCAGTCCTGGGCCCCTCTTGTGCCAAATTTTATAGTTTATTTGTTTATAGGTATAGCAATGTTTCCATTGAATCAGAAGTTATTGTGAATACTTTTTACTCATTTTCAATTTTTGCTTTTTACTCTGCTGGTATTATCTGTCTTGTCCATCGTGCTTGTTATGAAGGGAAGGGCCCAAACATGGGGCTGACAGCATTGCAGTAATCCCATGATTTTACATGATCTGAATGTCAAAAGCAAAGAACCCCAAAGTTAATCATTGCTTACTATGACTGACTCAGCCTCTCTAATCCCTTTCCATCCTCAGTCCTTGTCACTGTGCCATTTGACCTGTTTCCTCAGGGCTGGACTATGTACCTCCACCATGCATTGCACAGGAATCCAGCCTGGGAAGGGGACACAATCATTGCAAAGCATTAGGGGCCAACTCTGCTCAGACCAAAAGTCACTGGGGAAAGGGATGATGCCTTTGAGTTCACTGGACATAAAACTTCCTATCTCAGGCAGTTACTCACCCTTCCCTTCCTGTGCTTGCAACAGAACTAGTTTGTCTTTTAAGTAGAGAGGTGTATCCAGTTTCAGAAAAAATGGACATTTGTATGCAGGAGTTTTGCCTCCGGGAGTGGGAGTAGAGAGACAATCTCCTGCCACCACCACACTCATTCTGAATCTACAGGAGGCCATTTTTATTTCCTTTCATGCCATTCATCACCCCTGGCAAAGGGATAAGGACAGCAGAACCCTGCTGAGCGATTGATATGTTTGTGCTGCTCTGTATTAAGAAGTAAAGTTTTTGCATCACTTAGGTTACACACTTCTAGTGTATTCTGTTACCCACAACTTATTCCTTTCAGGATTCTTCTGCCAGCAGGCTAGATGGAATGATACATTTTGCTCCTACTTAGCTCACACTGTGTATTTCTCCTAAGGAGTGATATGTGCCAAGTATTTATGACAGTAACAAAGTGCAGGTTTGTCATAGACTCCAACTGGACTAGGATGGGCTTGGCAAAAAAATCCTGTGAGGTGATACCTAGATTTCTAAAACTTTTTCCCTTACTTTTCCGGTGTCACTGTTAGCACCCTCTACTAGCTCAGATGCAAGGAACAGCCCCGCATGAAACAACAATATGCTACAGCAGTCTGCCCAAGTGAAATGTTCTCAGCATTGGAGCATCTGCCCTGACACATGGTGCTCAGCCACCTGACCAGAACGTACTACTAGTATGGATGGGAGCAGGAAGACCCAGCTTCTGCACTAACACTTGCATCCACAGGGGTGAGGATCCAGGTGAGATGGACAATCCCTTTCCATGTGGGACCCTGATATATATTGTATCCACTGGCATGAGATGTCACCAGAGGCACACAACATACAGATGTGCATCCTTCAGTATTTTCAAGATTTCACTTGACTGCTGTTTTGACGCAACAAATAAAATTCAGCAAGGTCACACTATTGTGCGGAAGGTACCAGGTATTTACAACTGACACTTTACCGGCAAGACAAAACAGTATGCAGGACAGTAAGCCACAAGATCACATTGCCAGTATTTCCAGTTTTAAGCAGTAAAAATCTATATCTTAGTTCCTTAGAGCATCCAGCTGGTGGTGCCAAATAGTAACTGTAAAGGACATTTTTTCTGTATTTTGAATGATTGGAATACAAACTGTTTGGATAAAGGCATCTTTACAGTTGTTTCTTAGACTATTTTTAACAACTGTCCTCTCTCTCTCATTGAATTTAGCATGTCAGCTTCTAAAAGTCAACTGTTGTGTGTTTATGCTTCACACAAAGGGATATAATGCCCTTCTGCTCTGATTTATTTGAAAGCTTGCTCTGTGCACGGAGTGTAGAAGATACATATAGATGTATATGGAGGATGAGCAGGGGAAGATCAGGCCTAGGACATTTTGGCCTGGAGTAATATGTTTATTACTTCAAAAATCATAGTAAACCATATAAACACATAACCTGTTTTCTTGGGTGGTGGGTATATCTACCTGGTATTTATATAACTTATACTATCTGATGTCCTGTCCAGGATATTTGACACATTTATTATAGCTGTTGATGAGTCAGCTTGTGACCTTCTTTTTTTGTGGAGTTCAGTAGTTAAAACTATTTAGCTTGGAAGAAGATACCTGTTTTCAAATTTAAAAAGGGGGGCAAGTGGTAAAGGAACACCATGTTATGTTTCATTGGCCAAAGAGTGACCTATAAAATGTGCTGCTGAGAACAGAAAATGTAATGCACCAGTGACTGCAGCCAATTTGTTTTCATTCTTTTTGATATTTGATTATAAAGGTTAAAGCAGAGGAAAGGGAGTGCTAACCAGAAGTGTTAGCTCTCCTATGGCTCCCTGCCATGCAAGTTGGTGCTGATTTAAAAGGGTCAGGTTCTTTGCAGGCAGGCAGGAGGCAATGAGGAATAAACCCTAAGAAAGCCAGTTTTTACAACAGGTTCATAGATATGGTTATTTTAGGAAGTGTTTTGCCCTGTTCTGGAGGGTGCTTGCTGTTCCCATGGGCCTCCTGCTTCCCCCTGAGAGATTGCAACAGACTGCTGCTTGCACAAGACGTGGGTTTTGCTGAGATAGGCTGCGCAGGTGGCAGAGTGCGAGTATGACCAGTCGGGCGGGGAAAGTGTCAGAAAGGTGAGTCAGGCAGAGAGAAGCACGTGGAGAATGGCACGACTAAATCATGCTTCCTTCAGCCGGACTCCAGAACTGGTGGACTCATGGCCAATGCAATTCATCCAGGCACCGTGATAGTTGTTTTTCAAAGCATAATGTTCGGATCTTTGGTCACTAAAAGAAAGCAAGTGAATGTTATATGCTGAGTGAACACTGAGAAGGACATGGCTCCAAAGGTCTCTGCTTAAGATTTCCACTTTTCCACATCTTCACTTATCAAAATAATTCCTTAATTTGGTTTCAGGGATGAAGGCACTTCAGTATGCATGTTTATGGTAAAATCATGATATGAGGAGGAATATTGATTATGTTGCCAAGAAAAAATTTATGTATAGTCTCTGGTACAGTAAATTCAGTGTGATTGATTTGCTCATTATTATAAATATACACTGTGCAGTAGAAATATTAGAGGTACAGCCCACTCTCTTCTAAGATCTTGTGTTCAACAAGTATGACTTCATCTGTGTTGTTTTGCTTTGCTAAAGTATACCTCATGAAATCTCCTGAAGTATTCCCTGTGCAACTGTGGAGGCTAATGATTTACTCAGACTCATTAAGAAAATTAAATCCTCTTCAAAGAATTATATCCAAACATTCTGCAAATGTTTTGAAACACAATGGCTGCTCTCTGCCCCCAGTTGCTCTTGTGAAATCCTGCTGTAGTGAATGGAGGCTACGTGTGAGGACAGGGCTGGACTACAGCCTGTTCATACTGGCCAAGCAGTTGCAGCTTACACTGACAGCATTTCTTCAGGGAAGTGAGAAACCCATTTATAATCCCCAAGGTACCAGTTGTTTTTGTCTCCACAGTACCTCGAATCTCTCCTACCACGATGGCTTGAGATGCAGCAACAGAAGAAATATGGGACAAATACTGCCGTCTTTTACATCCACATAAATAATGAACGTGTTTGAATGCAGAGAGGTAAAAAAGCAGTCACTGGTTAAACTCTAGTTGCTAGCACCTGGATTGCATGACTGCAACTAAGAACAGAGTGTAGCTGATTGTCATGTGTATGTACAGTCATTTGATGGAATCTGGAGGATAAATTATATCATTGATGGAATTTCTTGAGCTATGTATGTGCTGCCTTTTCTCCTAGGTGTTTAGTTAAATGAGGTTTTCCTATTCCTGCAGGCAAGCAAATTGTTTTCTTTTTCCTTTTGATCTCTCAGGACTCTGGTTTTTAGCCTGCCTGTCTTATGTAAATGCCTTTTGATAAAAGAGCCCTTTTATCATGCATGCTAAAATTGTCGGATAGGTCTATTTGACTTGCCATGACAAAACTAAATAAACACCTTTTTAAACGTTATGTATCACTTAATTTTTCCATATGTCTCATCACTAGATTTTGCAATATGAATGTCATGGGTTTTGGTAGTTTTTGTTGAGTTCCAGCTTCTGGATTTTTTTCCTTAAAATAAACATGAAGCTAGCTTACATATCAGGCTCTTGTGGTTGCAGAAAAACACTTAATAGCCTGCTCAGTTGTATGTGAAAAGCAAATTAAAAGTATATTTATTGTGAAAAATCTTCTGATTGGGAGGCCTGAGCCATGATTTTAGAATGCTTGGGATTGGTGATATTTCATACGCAGTTTTTTGTTGTTTATTAGCAGATAAACAAAAGGATAGGATTTCTGTACTGGATAATTTCGGATTAGGAATTGAATGACTATTTAGCCGCATTTACTGACTGCTGTTTTAGGCACATAGTAGTTTTCAACACATCTAGAAATGTGACTAATAATTTAGCCAATTACTGTAAAAATGAAATCTATTTTTCTGGCCTGGTCAGATTCTCCTGCTAATGAGTTTTTCTAAACCAGGAATATCTGAGCTACTTCATGGATGTTGCTTTTAGTTCCAGGGAAACACCTATGTTAAACACTGTACTTTAGGGAATGCCTAGAAAAAATAGGATTTGTAAAATTTTTCTAAGATAAAATTTGTTATTAGATACAGGATTGTAAAAAAACCCCAACTTTCAGGGTTATGTTTGGATGCATTTTCTTTTCTTACCAAACTGTTGTGTTGCTCGGAAGCAGCAACATATTTTTGTACCCTGGCACTTTTATTTTAAACAAATAAATTAGCATTCAATTTCCTGTCCTAATCTGATTAACACACTCTTTTCTGTAGAAAATAATGCTAGCATCTCTGACTTTTCTGTCAGAAAGTATAGAAAGATACTTGAATTAGTACCTTGGTATTTTTTTGTCTAAATTTATAAACTTGTTTGAAATATTGGAAAAAGACTACTTCAATCTGCAAGGATTTAAGCACATATGGGATCCTGATGAACTCTAATAATGTCATTTAGAAATTAAAATTCTTTTATTATATTATGACTTATTTTCTACATTTAGCCACTGCTGCTGTATTTCTGACTTGTGTGGCTTTTCAAGACTTTAATGCTCTCAAGTAGAGGTTTGAGGTTTGTTAAAAACCTTGAATTTTGCAGCAGACATTCTGTAATGATAGAGGGGGACTTTTGTTTGTTTATCAGGGGTGAAATCAATATACAAGCACAGAAAACATATTTAGCTATGAATTTGCTGTGGAAACTATTCTCTGATAGCAGGGACAAGCTGTTGTAAAATAGTTTGCATTTCATAATCTCAGTTTTACAGGCATCATATCACTGCAGCGTATAAAAAAAGAGTTGAGAGATTATGCAACTGTTATAAATTAATTATAAAGGATAATAGGAAATTATAACTTCGACAGAAGCTTTCATATAAAATGTTTTTGTTACCAGTGAAACTATTTTTTACATGTGATTTATAAAATAGATGGATTTATTATATAAATAAAGGACAAATTCTGCACAAAATTAGATTATTGGTAACATGCTAAAGATTGTTCTTTTATACATGTAATACTTGCACTGTTCAGTATATGAATACTTATGCATAATTTTCAGATAGGCAGAAATTTCTGAATTTACCATTTATACTCTGGCCTTGCTCAGTTTTTCTTCCAGTAGAATCTGAATCTTAACTGTAAATTGATCTACAAAGCCAGCAGTAATCACTGTTGGTTTTTTTCTGCTCTTACTGTTTTCATAATGAAAAAATAAAAAATATAAGCAATAACTGGCATTCATTCTTCATGTATAAACTGAGTAAACCAAATGCCAGGTCCAAATAGTTGTTTTCCTCCTCTTTTATTTCCAGACCACTTTTCATTTTTCTGAGGTGTTTATTCCTAAAACACTATATGATTTTATCTCTATGAGAGAAGATGTGTAAATAACAGGGCAGAGGCTTTCTAATGACAAATGTCAAACTAAACACAGCAGGGCTGTAGCAGATCCCCAGATAGAAATGCTCGTGGAGAATTAGATAATATTTTAAAATTATCCAATATCAAACCTATCAGTGACCAGGAAAATAATTCCCACCTGGCACATCTATAGTCTGGCTGATGTTTTAGAGTATTTTGTTTGGACACCTCTTTTTCTGCTCAGTTTCTTCTCCATCCTGCAAAACCACACAAAACTTGTTCAAGAAATGCAACTATTTTCCCTCAAATTAAACTTCCAGTGCTTTAAACAGAAGGTAAGAAGCCAAATCCACAGCCAAAATTTTTGAGGTGGCAAAGGCAGGGTAGCCTAACCCAGCCGAGGGCTATAAACACTCATGGCTTAGCTTTTAAATTAAAGAGTAGCTTCTCTCTTTCAGCTCTCCTATTTCTAACCTTATCTTGGTTGTTGTTACAGGTAAAAGCCTTACAGCATTTGCACTCTGAGGTATCCAGGTAGGTATCTTGTTTGATGGTTTGGAGGATGAAGGTCAAAAAAAAAAAAAAAAAGGATGTTTAGAAACAGAGTTAAAACAAGTATTGGGTCACAGCAGAGTGCATAATATTTGTGTCAGAAGAAAGACTGATACAGCTCAGGTCCCTATCTTTTGCAGATGTACTTAGCTTTGCATGCTGATTAAAATCCTTTGAAACTGAGAGGACTGAATAGTTGTGGGTGAACTTAAACTGATACGTAAGTCCTCAAATGCTTTATATTCCCAAGAACGAGGTTCTATCAGAAGCCACCCTAACTTTTTTCTTCTCTGTTATCCTTGATAAGTATAACCAAAGCTGGAATTTGTTGAATGTTCCAGTTCTGTCTGTGATCCTCTAACATCTCATTTAACTACTCACATGATAAAGTTATTTGTAAATGTTAAATATTTGCAGGATTATGATCTAAAGGAGTATTAGAGCCTGATCCAACTACTTCAGAGGCCTGCCCTAGATTTTGGTGATCAGTGTATCACAGCCATACTAAAAGGATTAAGAGATTGCCAGTGCTTACTGAAGATACAGTTTTCCTAAAAGCACAGTTCCATATTCTAGTATTGACATATTGAGAGCATGTAATAGAATGTGCACATTATATGCTTTATCTCACCATATTTAGGATAGCATAACTCTGATGGTTTACAGTGGCTCCAGTAGCCTTCACTTTATTTATGCTTTCATAATCCAAATGTTTAGCAGTGTAAATATTTCCTCTATGTGGCTATACAGAGAGAGATGTATTTACTTGTATAATATGCGAGGCTATGTCATGGAGAAACGTAAAGTTTTTGCTAGTGTCTGTCTGAGATGAGTGGGTTACCTGCTGCAGGGACATGGAGGCATTAGGCAGGCTGCCATGGCCCTGTCCCAGTGACACTGCCATGCCCAGAGCTCTCCAGGAGACTAAGCCTTTCTTTAGAGAGGATACTATTGCAGAAGTTGAACTACACTTCATAGCACTTTAGCAGGTTGTGTATATTAGGCTTTTGTAAAAAAATAAAGAAAAAAAAATTAGAATCCTTTTCCCACTGTTGGTACAGAAATATTCTGGGGTCTTCTCTTTTCCTCCATCCATTTGTATCCTTTAATTTTACTTCTCTGTTTTCCTTGTGTCAGGAGAAACTTCCCTTTATTTCACAGGTGTGGCAAACAGGACTGGGGAAATGATACAGGAAGAGATCTGGCACTTTTTTTCTTTCACCAACTGGCAGAAGATACAGGATGACCTACAGTGGGAGAAGAGTGCCCTGAACATCTGTGGAGTATTGCTGAAATGTGAACCAGGTGATTGAAAACCAGGCAAAAAAAAAAAAAAAAATTTCTGTAGTGAGTTGTTTTTCTGTGTGTGAGAAATTTGCTAATGAACCAGAAAGGCTGGACGTCCAGTAAAAGCAGGTAACATGCTAGACTAGAAAACATGATGTATAAAACCAAAAAAAGTATTACTTTTTGCCCACATGGTTTGCAATTTATGTCAGGACTACAGAAACAATGTTGTCTTGTTTGATATGATGATAGTCCTGTTATCATGTGTTATATGGCCATTCCATCCAAGCAGCTTTGCACCCTTCACAAACATATATTAGCTTTGCCTAAGAATGCTAGGACAAAAAAAAAAAAAAAAAAATCACTTCTGTTTTGTTGTGTAGAAGAGGAAGGTCTGTGATGTAGCTGTGCCATATGGAGATGGAAAATTTGTTGCAGTCAGAGTACAGGTTCCCTTGCCAGATCTGAGTGTCTGGCTTAAGAATACTTGCTTTCTCATTATGCGACACCGTAATGAACAAACTGATATTAAATGGTATAAAATCATCATTTTTGCATATTACCTTTCATCTCAGGATTTCAAAGCACTTTACAATCATTCATCTGTACCTCTTAACCCAGTAATCACATGAGTAAGGTCTTCCTAACACAGAAGAAACGTTTCTGAATACTTTCACATCCTGTTGAAGATGAGAGGAGAAGAAGCCAAGTTTACCCAGACAGGAACTGGGATTAAAACTCAGTACATCTGCTCTCCATAAGCATCTTTTTTTCCTTTCAAATGCATCTACAGATCCAAAAGTCCCAATAAATATTGAGATATAGGTGGTTTTGGTGCATATCTGAAACCTGATGCTTCTTGATTTAAATTTAGGATCACCAGCTGACACTGGTCTGTTTTGTTGCTTCGTGGAGAAAACATTCTGTGATGTCGTGCCTGTAATCACAGCTGTTTTGTTTGTTTGTTTTACAAATGGCTTTCTTCACAAGCTGGATTTTGTTCAGTATGCATTACCAGTTCTGGCATATTGGACAGCAGTATTTGGGACGAGAAGAATACTTAACCAGATGGATAGTCTTCTCCCATGTGAATAACTGGAGTGACTTCTAATCTACTCAATCAATCTGTGTAGAGAAAGCATAGAAATAAAATCTATCACTGGGACAAGAACACAGCTTAACTCAGAAAAACTTTCACAATATTAACTGCAAGTTACTGGAAGATTTAAATTCTTCATAAAAGACAAAATATTGCTGTAACTTTTCAAAGTAAAATTCTATTTTTCATGCTTCATTTTCCAATGTTGCCCTGAGTTTGTTCTAGAGTGAATGGGCTTAGGGCCAGTATAAACATGGACTTGCTGTCCAAGAGTTCACAACTCTGTGAATGAAATTGTTTCTTCTGATAAATCTAACTCTGCCATAGAAAGCCACAATATCAGGTTTTGATCCATTGCATAGCTACTATGTATGATCCAGTACATCTTTCCACTATCTTTTTTTCTGCCAAGTCTTGGCGAACTTTGTGCTTGTTTCTCTTGACCAAAAAGTTGCCTGTTTGATGTTATTTATCTTTAGAAGGAGGAGGGTTGGCAACAATTCATTGCCAGCAAAGAATGTTGTCACTAAGGCCTTCTAGATATAACCACTTACTGAATTTATTGGTTTGATTTTTTTCTTTATATGGAATTACTTTTCAGCTACTGTATCCTTTCAGATTCAGGCTGAGGTGTTATTTTTGACTATTCCCATTTGAGAAGAGTATTTCAAGCATTTGAACATTTTCTTTTTACCATTTGTAGAAGAGTGCTAGGCTTTGACCCTGTCAGCACCCGAGATGTTTTGAAACTTGCCCACACCTTTATTTACTGCGGACTGGATTACCGTGCTTCCTGCCAAACTTCCTGCTCAGACACTGCTATTAAAAGGTTTATATACTATATATTAAAAGAGTTAATATACTGAGAGCAGAACTTTGTAATATTTTTAAACTTTCAAGTCCTGTTATTCTATTATTGGTTCTTTGCATTGTGTGATGACATGTGCCCTTCTTGATTCCTACTTTTACTTTGTTGTATATACAAAGATATGTTTACAGCTTTGATTATAGTCCAGTAATTCACAGGATTTAGCTGGGATGGGTAAAGAATTTTTTGATCAAGTAGCAGTTTTACCAAATTGTAAGATACAATGGACTAAAATCAGATGATGTACCAGTATTTAAACTGGGAAAAGGTATGGATCATGAATTTCAGAGTAGTTACTCTAAGACTGCTAGAGACAAATTCTGAGATGAGTTGCAATAAGCAAACATATAATTGATGGTAACATAATTAATACCAGTTGACATAGTTTTATGGGTGATAGAGCTTGACAATGGACATATAATGTGCATTTCTGAGTGTGGCTAGTAAACATACGTGTGTTGATCTAATATGTGATTTAATTATCGTAAGGACATTGGACATTCTGATTTAAGACAAAAAAAAAAGAGAAACGGGACAAATGCAATATTAAAAGCTACTTAATTGATAGGCTGCAAAAGTGGTTATAAGAGAAGATTTAGTCAGTTTGAATTATTTGTTACTCCCAAGAATTTGTTCTTGCTCTGGTGAAATGCTATGTTTTTATCAGAGTCAACATGGAAAATGCTGATGACTCCAAGTCACTTATAGAACCTGACTTGAATAGTCTGTTAAGGCATGATCACTTGAGTAATATGTGTTTGAATATTAACCACCAGTGCTTATGGAGGAAGAGTCTAACAAAGGCTAATTTATTTGTTTAATCCAAGAGTTAGCATTTATCACAGCCCACAAGTAAAGGAAAGGTGACTGTCAGTTCTCTAATCAAGCAGAAGAAACACCCTAAATTTGGAAGCAGAAACTAGATACATTCAAGCCACAAATAACCTGCAGTAGCAGGTTTTTATCCTGAGGCAAGCTCGTTCTTGGTGCGCTCTTCTTTCGCATGCAGAAGCTTTTTTAATATTTGAGCCTTTTTAATAAAGACTAAAATATTTCTAAAATGGGTACTCTAATGCAAGCAGAAAGTATATGGTTGAAAATTGGATTCCTATCTAACATGGACTGTTAAGTTAAATGATAATAAAATTCCTCAGGTTTTAATCTATGTATATATCTTCCTTTGAATCCTATTTTCCTTCTGATTATTAATAACCTCTGCTATCAAGGGTATATTCAACATGTGTTGAAACAGTAGAAGACATAGCTTCATTCATGTTATTTTCTATTTCCACATAGACATACAACAATTCACACAGAATTTTACCATAACCAGAAGAAGTAGTGAACAGTTTTAAAATAAGCCATTACTTTGAGTGCTTTAATGTTCAGTTTCAGTAAAAAGCATGATTTAAGATTATCCATTTACTTTGCATGACAATGGCATTGTTGTCAGATGGGGTGCTGCATCTGGGGGAGTAGTAACTCCTAGACAACGTGACATAACTGAGTTTAGAAATCACTTAACCTATGCTATCTACAGCCTTACCTTTTTGTCACATGTGAGCACATCCTGAAAGAGCATTAAAGAATATAGTTATAATTTGTTGTAAGAAATCAAGTTATTTTCTCATCACCCAGATGCAGAGCTGATCCTGCACCACTGAAGTCAGTGGAAGTGGTATGAAGTTAAATGGGTATTAGTCTTGTGAAATTTATGTGCATGCAAAAATGTGCTCATGCTGCATCCCTCCAGGTTAGGAGACAGAGTTCGCTCTGGGGCTAGCAAGACTTTTTCAGGGCCAAGTTAGGGAAGAAGCTTTAATCTGACTTTTCACTTTGGGAAGTCTTCTCTCCCTCCTGAGTAAATCAGCAGCCTATGGTGAAAAGTTTCCCAATTGACTACCTAAGTAAGAGCCTCTGAATCTGTGGTGTTGGTGCTTCTTTTGGAACTATTTCTGGTATAATTGATGGATTCTTACTTCCTGAGCATTTCTTAACCAAAGGCCAAACTGATATATTACTCCTTGGGGAGTGTTAGGTTTTATTGTTCTGTCTGACAGGGTATATATCAATAGCAGTTTGTTGTGTTTCTTAATTTGCCTTGTCTTGATGAAGTTTGCTTTTGTGACCTCCCTGGAAAGGTACGTTGAATGACCTATGGATGGGATGTTGCCAAGCTGAACTCTAGCCAGTTTGCTCTTTGCATCCACTTCTGAATTTACCATTTCAGAGTAGGGAGGAAGGTGGAAAGGAAAAACTAAACAAGTTACCCTCACAGAAGGGAGTGAACAGGGGCCTTAGAAGTAATACTGGTGCCCAGTATTAGTATACTTCCTGTTCTCTACTGTATATGTCTCATTTCACTCCATTTAATCTAAAAAAAATGCATTTGCATAATTACTCTGTTAAATAAAAGGTATAATGTTGAACTGTTTAATTGTACTTTGGCTGACTTGCATGTATTTTCAAATCCGTATTTCCTAATAACTTTAAAGAGATGGAGTTTGCCACAGTCTCTGTTTAATTATTTCACTTATGTTTACCTGGGGAGTTTTCTTCTTAATTCAATTTCCTCCCTCTTCCCTTTTCTTTCATTCTTCTTTCCCTCTTTCCTCTCTGTTGCAGAACACAGGCCCAGGCATTCAGACTTAGGCAGTTGTCCAAATCTATTTTAAAACAGAATTTTAGATCAAAACTTCTTGCAGTTATAGGGCGAGGGTCACATGTACTTTCCCTAGGTCAGCAGGAAAACTTGTGATGACATTGCAGACCCATCTCTCTTTCCTCTCCCAGCAAATATGTGCATAATGTAGAGCTATAAAAATGTTCATTTTTCAGGAGAAATTGAGGTTACCTTGTCCCATATAGGACCAGTTGAAAGAACTTTGGCTTGGAAAAAAAAGAGAGAAGGTAGTTATATTTACCTAGGAAACTTATTTTTTTCCTGATTAACAGCAAAGACTTAGCAAAGCATGTCTGGATTTTGCAGTGTTGACAAGCAGCTTCATTATTACTGTAA